GAAACCTATTTGCAATGGCCGACACACCGGCACCTCCCCCGCACCCAACATCGGGGCCCGCTACAGAGCCGGCTGCCGAAACGGTGATTCAACCGGCGTCTCAACCGGCGAGCCCGGCAGCCACCTCTCCCGAAGCCGAGGGGGGAAGCACAGATCCTCCTGCACAAGTGACTGTCGCTGGCGACGATACTGAGAATGAGACCGACGCATCCTCACTGCAGAGCGGACTTACTGCCACAACAAACGAATCACAGGCGTCTGTGACCCCAAGCATCTTTGACTATCGGCTCGAAAACGGCCGCAGTTACCACCGCCTCAGCGATGGCAGCTACCTCGTTCCCAACGATGAGACTGAACAAGAGCGCCTCGACATTGCGAACCATCTCTGGCTCATCGCCTGGGACGGTAAATTCTGCCTGTGTCCCAAGAACCAGGGCGCCAAAAGGGTTCTCGACCTCGGCACGGGCACGGGCGTGTGGTCCATTTTATACGCCGACGCGTTCCAAGGTGCAGAAGTTCTGGGCGTAGACCTGAGTCCGATCCAACCCGAGTTCGTGCCTCCGAACTGCTACTTTGAGGTTGATGATCTGGAAAAGGAGTGGACATGGACGACCCCGTTCGACTTTATCTTTGCGCGCAATATGGCTGGCAGCTTCCAAGATTGGGCAAAGGTCATCGCACAGGCGTTTAGAAACCTCGAACCCGGCGGTTACTTTGAGATCCACGATAACCTGTACCCCCTCGAGTGCGACGACGGCACCCTCAAGGAGGACTCGGCGCTGTTCCAGTGGTCAAAGTACCTCGTCGAGGCCACGGACAAGATTGGCCGTCCCATCACCATTGCCTCCAAGCTTGACAAGATGCTCGAGGAGGCCGGCTTCGTGGACGTGGTAGTCACGAAGCAGGTCATGCCGGCGTCGCCTTGGGCCAAGGACGAAAAGTTGAACGCGCTGGGTGTGTGGACGTCGGCTTCGCTCCTCCCCGGCATCGAGGGCCTGTGCCTCGCTCTCTTTACTCGCGTTCTGGATTGGGACCCTAACGAGGTCATTGCGTTTTGTTCAAGCGTCAGGAAGGATGCCAAGAACTTGGGCATCCATGCGTACTGGTACGGATACTCCATTTACGGACGGAAGCCATTCCTCAAGGAAGGGGAAGAAGAAGCTGCGCAGAACTGAGATTGGAGAGTTTGTTTTAGAGGTCTGCGGTTTTCCTGTTAGAAAGGCCAGTCCAGACAGTGACTGCCTCGTAATTATAAGCGTGCGCTTCTCGGACTACATTATAATCACAGTATCGGTCATATCCTATCGTTTCAGCGGCTATCTTGCGTCATTATCTTTGGCTTTGCTGCAGTAATCACATTTCTTGAAATCAACCTGCGTGATTGACTTCTAATCTTCTCAGGAGTAACTACCTGCTACTATATTACACTTTGTGTTTTGCCAGTGGCCTCTGTTACACGAAGTGTGTGCAGGTAGTTGTAGCCCCCACATCCCACGCTCATCTAGTAGACGCCAGCACGACGTGAGTTTGATTTACATACTAGAAAATGCATGGCTATGTGGATTGTCAACCCACTGGTGATTGAAGGTATTGACGGATAAGCCAAGACAAGCTTCAAAGAAGTCAAAAATAGGCTGATTGGACTAGTTGTCAAATTGCAAGCGTATGGACTCTTAGCTGCGCGATCTTTCGTGTTCGATCTGGAGATGATCTCTCCCTCGACTGTGACGCGAATCACCCCCGCGAACGTTCTCAGACAGCTCGTCTAAACGGTTGGCGATCTGTCTGAGATGCGGCAAGAGATACGTTTTGACGAGGTCTTTAGGAAGCCCATAAACTAGTTCATAGACCTAAAATAAAAAAAATTAAAAAAAAAAAAAGCACCAGAGGACCCTGCCAAGGTTAACCCCGTACCGTCGCAGTTTGACAGTGGCAGGCTCCCAGGAACACCTCATCCAGAAGCGTACTCGGCAATGCTTTGGAAACCCCCGGCCATTTATGCGAATGCGGGCTGTTGTATGGACTACTCGGACGGAAGTGATGAGATTCTGATGGCTTTCGCACAGATATCTGACACCGAAGCTTTACAATTGGTCGAAACATTGTACTTTTCTTCGAGTACAATCTAAAGAGGCGGTTGGGTGCGCCACAACTCGCGAAATTGGCGTGGTCCAAACCTTCTAATCCATCTTGAAAGCAAAAACAAGCCGAGCTCTAAGCATGAGCATGACCTTCGACTTTGAAGCCAGTTACGGACGTTATCGATCATAACCTTTAGGTAGGTATCATCAACACATGTATACTGAATCAAATCTGTCACTAATGCCTGAAACGACTGTCAGGTCAAGAGCCACCTCCCCACACGAAACTTGTTAAATTGAAACAAGTTCATGCGCGCAAGAATAAATTGAATGTTGAGAATGTGAGAGTAGAGCTAATTGCTTTACATGTTCGAAAATTGGTAGTGCGTAGTTGTTTATCGTGCACCTAAGCTAGGCTCTTTATCTTTCCGTTTAAAAGTAACGATGGCTAGGCTGACATCGGTGTTGTAGTTAGTGACGTTTCCTCGAATGGATGCTAGTCAAGTTCCAAGTATTACGTGCATGATACCACCGATCGATATTGCGGTTCAATCGCAACCGATAGGGGCTTGAAATTAAATATTTTTAGTGTTCTTTCTGCATGTCTGCAATGCTTCTTTTTCCACGAGTTTGAATATATGCCCTTGAAAAAAATTCGACCTTCCGTCGTCTACCTATTCTATGCAGGTCGATTTGTGGCTTTCCCTTGCCAACCCGAGCACCAATCCATCATCCAGGTATTTGTGAAAACCAGCTAGAGTTGTATCAAGTAGATGAGTGATACCATGTTTTGATAATCTACTTGGGATGTCTGCAACCCTTATTCCATGGGAAAGTATTTTTCCCTGACAGCATGACGCGAGTCGCGGCCAGCATCAAAGGAATCAAGGCAACTTGCAAGGTGTAATCAGGGGCTTTCCACGCCGCTCGATCCCTTTCTGCGGATGACAGCTTGGGAGGCAATTTGGTAGACCTTGAAAGACGGACTATATTGCTGTGTTCTTGTCTCAACGCTGCCGACCGACTAGCCTGAGGTATGCCAATCAAACCAAACCAAGCGCTGGTTGACAATTATAGGAAGTATGTGATGGTTTCTGTTGTTCTCAAGTATTCCCATTGCCTGAGAACAGAGAGTGGGAATGAGAGTACATCATTCACTTAAGTCTCTTTTCGGGCTTGCTAATAAGTACATTAGAGTGACAGAAAGTTCGAGGTAGCGTTAGGTAACTGTTAAAATAGTTATCTCAATGAGCACTTTGCATGGGCGGCATGCGGTTCTCAAACCTCAATCTCGCCCCGCTGCTAAGATTGTGCTTGCATCAAGATCACCATTCGGCTGCTTCCGAGTACCACCGGGTCGGGGGTTCAATGCGCGTTGGGGGCGCCTTGACCATGACAACTCACTTCGCCAGCGGCTGTAGCGGCGGCAGTGTGTTTGGTTGTTCTCTGGCATTCCGGAAAGCGCGATGGCGAAGACAAGTGCCATTTTGCGAAGATAACACGATAGATACGAAGAGCGGCTTCCAAATACGAGACCATGGCCCGGTATTCCCCCGAAGAGCTACTGTGGCTCGTCTGCGGCTAAGGTAGAGTCTTCTATCAATAGTTCTGCCCAAGTGCAGTGGGATGGTATGACGCCAAGTCCTTGCTACTAGTCACACTGACTGATCCCGCTGCAGGCTGCAGCTGTCAGGAACTCCGCCGTCGGAACTTTTGAACCAGCTTGGCGGTGCCCACCGAAAAGACAACTGGTCGAGCCTCCAACTGGCCGGGTTGTGTCAAATTTGAATTGACAAGTGACAGGCTCGAGGTCTGTCCACCGAGATGACAGGGCCCGTTGCCACTGATCGTCGCCTCGGAAAAGTACATACACGAGGAAAACGAAGGCCTGCAGCTTTCCGCTGCCCAGTGCCAACAAAACTGACAACCACGCCCAGCCTGGCCGGCTGCGTGCGTGCGTGTCTGGTAATCTACAGTAGACGAGAAAAAGAGGCACAGAAGGAGGAGAGCCCGAAGAGAACAGCCCGTTTTGTTTACCACACTAGATTCCTTAGGGTGGAAATCAGTGCTGCACGGGGGCGGCTCTTCCATGCAAGGTACCGCACAACCGAGCTAAAAGGGGGTTTACTGAATTTAGTCTGCCAGCCACAACCCCAACAGCGTTGGCCATGGGTGTGCTTCATCTCGCCTGGGTTTGTGTGATGGGGATGGGCACAAATGGAGGTTTCCTGATTGGACCCGGGGACAAGAAAGTATGCGTGCTGAAAGCCTGAAGCCATTGACCGTTCATAGTGAGTCTTTCATCCCTCTCTCCCGGTTTTTTTTTTTTTTTTTTTTTTTTTTTTTTGGGTGAAGAGCTGAAAGTTTCTCAAACAATATGTCTCTGGCTATCACAACAAAAACACGGAACTCTATTGGCGGCAATGGGCCATAGTCTCGGCAATACCGGCCGACGGCCGACGGCCTTTGCTTTTTACGAGTGGCAGTGGATGTCATTTGCTTCCTTCGCGTACGCCCGAAGCAGGGAGTCGCCTACGTCACGGCTGGCAGAAAAGAAATCAACCCACCATGAATTGATGGTTTTAACAGCAATCTAAAATTCTCTGAAAGTCGGTTTTGCATACGAGATGGGGCGGTGGGGTGGCACTAATGAGTGGAGGAGGAGGAAGAGGAGGGGTGGGAGCACCAGGCCTGACTCGTCAGGACTATCGACAGGGATCGTCTACAAATGGGTTGTTTATAAAGCTTGAGGGGGGAAGCTCAATTTCCCTTACGGTGTTCGGTCAACTTCTCAGATTTATCAATTTTGGACGTTCGTTCTTGTCACTCGCTCAGACACACTACTTATTCTAATACCGGAAAACTTCAACAAAACACCAAAAAACAACCTATATCTAATTTCTCACTTAGACCGACAACATGTTCTCCAAGACCGCCGTCGCTATCACCTCCTTCTTGGCCATTGCCGAGGCCGTCAAGGTCACCAAGCCCGCCAAGGGTGACGACTGGGACCTGTCCAAGACCAACGAGATCACCTGGGAGACCGTCTCCAGCGACCCCAAGAGCTTCGAGATCGTCATTGTCAACCAGTCCGGCTACCCCGAGGTCTCTGAGACCATCGCCACCGTCCAGGCCGCCGATGGCAAGTACGAGCTGAAGGGCGCCAAGGTCGCCGCCGGCGATGCCTACCGCATCAACCTCGTCTCCACCGACCCCCAGAACTCTGGTATCCTGGCTCAGTCCAACGAGTTCAGCTTCACTGGCTCTGACGGTACGTGAAGATAACACATTTCTCTACCCCAAAGGTCGTGAGCAATCGCGCTGACTTTCCATGACCTAGACTCCTCTTCCGCCTATGCTTCTGGCTCCGCTACTGCGTCGGCCAGCGCCTCCGGCTCTGCTGCCACTGCCTCTGCCACCGGTTCGTCTTCCTCGGCCTCCGGCTCTGCGGCCACTGCCACCGTCACCCAGACCTCCTCCGGCCTGACCACCGTGACCACAGTGACCACCGGCTCTGCCACTGCCTCGGCCTCCGGAACCGCTGCCTCTAACGCCTCCGGCTCAGGTACCGCTTCCGGCACCGCCACTGGCTCCGCTGCCTCCGGTACTTCCACCTCTGCTCCCAGCAGCGCTTCCGCCATCAAGTCCACCTTCGCCATCTTTGGCTCCGTCGCCGTTGCCGCCTACATGCTCTTCTAAGCAAGATTGAGATGCACGCACGAATCTTGTTTTTTAGAGCTGTTTTGAGAAACCCGAATGATACCAACCGGCTACGATGAAGGGAGTAGCGACAAACTAGCGAAGTGCATTTGGAGGGGCTGGGAATTGAGGATTCTATCACAAAAATCGGATGGGTTATGTCTGGCGTCGCCTTCGCACAAGTTTGAATACGTTTTTATAGACTAATGTTGAAGCCTTCTTACTGGACTCCCTCCATTTACAAGCGGCTCGAATACGTATCCTGCATGTGTGAGTATCCGTAAGAATACCCTGACGATGGAGAACCTGGTAGCTGTATGCATGATGGGATGGATTTCCTGGGATTTGACCCCAAGTTTTCGCGCTGTTCCGGACGCGACCTGAGCGCGGAAATGAGCAGACCCATGCCGTTCATCCCGAGTGCCCAAAAAGTCAATGGAATAATCTCCACCATTGAGTTGGGCTCGTAATTATGGATACGGAATGGGCGCCCCTAATTCGAGACCGTTATACGGCAGAACCCTGCCGTTCCCCTGATCGGCCGCCTTAACGTGCAGGTTGGCGTCTGTTGGTTAACCCAATTGGGATTGACGGCTGGGATCATGCTAGGATGGGGCGTTCTTCCTTCGCTTCTCCGTTATCGCGAGCACTGGAGTAGCGAACCAACGGCTAGTTCAAATCGCGTCAGATCACCTACGGAAAACATGATTGTAGATCGCGATGTCACGAGGAAAGAATACGGGTTGCTGACTCTCGTCATTTCGAAACGGAGACGGCACACCAGCAAATCTTTTGATGAACCCCAAGACGGTCACTTTGCTGGCATTGTCCGCAAGTTACTTTTTTTTTCTTTCCCCGTGGATCCTGAAATTTCGCGACCATTTAGCCTTCCACACCTCCCACGTGCTGAAGCAGCCTTTTTTCTCTTCCACTGTCTTGCAACTGTGAGACAGTCTGCTTCAGCCTAATAAGGCGCTCACCAATCAGAATAGCGGCCTGATTGGTCTCATATAATGCCGCTTATGAGGAATGTTGCCCGTTGAATTGTAACACAAGCAAGGGATCTATCCCACTCTCACTTGTTTCACTTATCATCGAATGCTAAGGCACACCCAATAATGGGCTTTGTCTACCCTGTTCTCCCGTGAAGTTCAAAGACGGTCATCTTCCTTCCTCTCATGATTACATCTCTAGCTTGCGATGCCTAAGTGAATACGGATACAATGTACCAGATACTCTCTGAGCTCTAGGACCACGGGCGTTTCTACTAATACATTCAATGATCGGAGAATTTGAATACTTGAATAATTGTTCCCTAGCTCAATCGCGTTTAATCTAGCTCCAATACTTGATCAGCCGCTGCGTCTCATAGTTCCACACCTCGAAAATCAACTTGCTGATTGAAAGCGATTCACGAAGAACCATCAGTGGGGGCCATTGCTCAGAAGGGCTTCTCGTACCACAATCTTCACGTTTCACAGCGCGGGGACCCTTTTTGCGGTTCAAAAACGACACCCGGTTCCTACTCTGTTCGAAAAGTCTTCGGGATAGCTACTGAAGATTTTGCCACAAGTTCAGATGTGCTGATTTAGACCGGTTATTGGGGTCTCAGACACCCTAAAGTATTCTGGGGAAGATCAACGTCATTCCAGTTGTTAGGAAGGAGTGACGCAGGGAATTATTGAACACGCCATTCTACACTAAGCATCTCCACTCATAGAGGAGGCCGTACTAGTACTTTTTCTTCTTCGACTAAACAACCTCATGGGTCCGCTGGGTTGTGTTCGCTTCAAGATTGGCGGTAAAGAGCCCTCTTTTAGAGACTGAGGGCTAATGTGTGACTGAGGGAAGATGCCAAACTTCCCTTTGCTGTTTGTTCCAGACCAACACCAATGATCCTGGTAAAGCCCTGAAGATGCTTAGGTTAGCACAAGCATCGAGCCTAACCACTCACTCAAGGCAGGGAAAGAACACTCACACCCAACGTTTCTGATCACTTCCCCCTTCCCAAATGTCAGCCAGCCTGCCCTCGAGTTGTCGGGAGGATCCCATCTCCATCTCGTGGTGATCGATACCGCGCTGGTAGCTTGGAACGAAATCTCATTCTGTTTTGGACTCTCAATCTCGACGCATTTGGCTGGAAAGGGACCTTGAACGCCATCGTGCCACCCGGTGCACCACTTGCCGCCCCATTCCTCTGGAAACTCAACACCGACAATCTTTGCGCCAACGAAGAACGTGAGCACATTTGAGCTACCGTCAGGGCCCAACAAGTTTTCGCCTCTCCGCTGAACGTGGCTCTTCAAAGCCGTGGCGACGGGAAACTGGGTGAGAATGTCATTGTCGGGGAAAGAATTTGGAGCTGGAGGTGATGGGAAGTGGACATCATAGTCCTCGATTTGATGATGATCCTTGTCGACTTGACCATACAAGACAGTAACGCCAGGAACTTCGGGGAGAGGCTGTGGATGGCGAGAGAGGTGTTGGAGAAGCTGATCTGCGCTCTGGAAGACAGTTGCGTCCCCCTCGTGGACGGTGCGTCCGATATGGGTGCAGAACAGACACGCGTATCGGATTTCCGCTGTTGTTTTCACCGCGATGTGGGACTTGACCAGCAAGCGCACACGGTAGAGTATGCCATACTTCAGAAAGTTTGCTCGGGCTTGGGGGTATTAGAAACAGCAAAGCAAATCAATGGAAACTCGGGTTGGCTTACAGTCACCCTCTTTGTCTAGAGTTAGCGATCTGTTCAAATGATGATACTCGCAATCCATGCACCGGCCGATTGGAAGTGGTTCGCCCTGCTCTTGTTTTAGCCGTACTGTTCCCAGGCTGGATTCCGTGCGTTCAAAAATGTTTTCGGGGTTTGAGGTTTGACTCACCCAAGTCATAGTCTGCTTGATGCCATGCCAATATCCTCCTCTGCGAAATGTTTGTGCGCCGTCACAGAATCCTTTGAGCTGATGAAAAGAGCTCTTCGGCCCTATCAAACATCCTTCTTCCTTTTCCATTGCTGAGATGGATCTCAAGTGTTGCGTACTAGTTTCTGAGGCTGCTTGCTCATCAGCCAGCATCAGTCCATCTGTAAAGAGCCCAGAAGATGGGAAATCGATGGCAAGGGCTGGATCTGGTTTTGTTCCTGCGCTCGGTGACATCCGCACATCGATGGTTGGAAGCTTAGGCGAAGTTACGTTGGAAGAGTAAGTTGGGACATCGGAGTATACCGACGTTCTATTTGTAGTTGAAGGGCTTGTTGGATCAAATACTGAGCTTTGCGGCGTCACGGCGTCGAAGCCTCTTCGATGGATCCGGGATACGAATGTGCCATCGCTAAATGCATCATCACCCACGGCGGAATTCTCGGGGATGCTTCCACGGAAAGGTCGCCTAGGTTTCGGAACAGAGGTCTGCTCTTCAACCCAATCCGATGTCCGCGGTTGTAAGGGTTCTGGTGAAGTGACAATTCTCAGCTTGCCCATTCCATCGCTGAGAACACCTGGGGAAGGCGGTCGTCGGTCTCCTCTGCTAGAAGAAACAGCGCCTGAGAATCCACGAGATGACGCAGGATCTGAATCTGTTGACTCAGCTATAGAGTGAGCCCGCCTCACCGTCGCACTATCCGACGATCCATGTGAGCCTCGCGCGCGACTACGGCTCACTGACGGCTTAGGTTGCCGCGGGACGGCAGGAAATGATGAAATGTTGGCGGCTCCGTGGCTTCCAGCTCGCAAAGGCGACGGCCGGATTTGCGGGCTGGCGCTTAGTGACTGAGCCAGCTGCGGTGGTAATGGCGGTAGAGGCGGCAATGGCGGAAACTTGTGCACCGGCGTGGTCGGAGTTTTGACGTCGATCTTCACCCTCTGAATGGCGTCCAATATCACTAGAGCAAAGCTTCGAGTCGCAGCCTGAATATCGGTAAACTTCGCCGGGTCGAAAGTGTCCAACTCAATGAAATCTTCAAAGTCGTAAAGCAGCTCTTCAAGTGCTCTTCGTTTCTCCGCCAAATCATCTTCGTCGAACATCAGTCAATCGATAACCTTCCAGGCATGAGAAGGCTCAACTTACCATTTTCGGCGATAGTGTCTTTGAAGACATCTCCATGCTTTTCGAACTGGCTATTCCACAAAGGCTGTAATCTCTTCAATGCCCTTTGGCCTTCTTTTGCGATGATGCTTGCCGACTTCGCCATCTCTCGGGATGTCTCTGGATCATCATCTTGTGCATCGTGTGCATTCTTTGCAGATTCCTCTCCCCTTTCTACTACTTCGCGGAAAGGAGCAAGAATGAGCTCCTCAACGTCGACAGCCATAACTCGGAAATGGTTGCTATATGAATTTGGACGATGTAGGGAGGTAAAGTGCCCAGGAACCGCTCCACGTCCGTGAGTCCGGTAAGGTTCGGATCGGCCGTGACACAACGTGGCGATGGGGTTCGAATTAAAGGGTCTTTCCAAACGGGCCCGTTACCAAATAGCTGGTACACTGAGTGCACTGCGCGACACCCATTGCGCGGGAGATTACTGCCTGCAGCCTGGGAAGGCGGCGGCGTGTTAGAGAGAGGGCGCTATTCGAGGACCGTCGTCAGCCACTCGATGGAGCACGTGGGGAGCTCGCTCAGGGGCTGAACACATAATTCTTCATGCACACCGGGACACCAGTATGGCGCTATTGGTTCGGTCGCCTAAAGAAGTGCATCTTGCCGAATCGCCAGGCACTACACCGAGAAAGGCACCTGGCAAGCATTCTCGCTAGTGGTACGAGCCGCTCACGGTCGGCTTAATTGCATCTCAAGGTTGGCAAATTGAGCTTATGTGTATGTGAATGTCTTTTGTTGAAGCTATCTGCGCTAGGAAGAAATGGTGAGCACTTCGAGGAGCAATGCTCGTATCGCGTATGCTAGCCTAAGGCGTATTTAATATTGTGAATGTTTGCCCTCGAAGCTTAAGCGACACGGAACTTTCCTCCACGTTCGTCTCCCTGACCCAGTAAACCTCTTTTGCTTGGTACTCCTCATTACCCCATCTGGCAATGTGCTCAAGAAGGTTAATTAGCATTGGCCATTCACAGCTGGATCCCATACCCGCTTCAAGAGCACGCCATCCCGTGCCGTTCGGTCTTTAGGAGGGGCTTTTCTTCGCCAATATCAACGACCACCGTCCGACTCCGGTGCTGAACCGATGCCGGGCGGTCACGGAGCGGGGACCGTCTTTTCTTGTCGGGGGTGCTGTTGCGAGAATCAGATGACTGCCAGTTTCGGCTACCCCCGGGAGCCGACAAAGCTCAGTTATGCCGGCGATATCAAGACTCGGCCCGGGGGGAGAGTCTTGGCAACTCTCCTCCATCTCTGTGAAAGAGAACAGCATCGAAATGTTCCCAAGGACTAGTAAATCCACTAAAGCGTGCTGTCAGATGAAGCATCATGCGGTAGACCACTCAAAGCTCTTCCGGGGCGAAGACTCTACCGCCGAACCTACCACGTCAATTCCATCGCGCATTGCTTCCGAGGTGCACAGTATTCCCTGTGTCTTGAATGGAAGCGTATTCCGACAATTATGCAGACGCTGTGTCACAATTCCCTGCCCAGACTCCAGATTCCAGCCAAGTTCCAATAAGTGTCAAGAGGCTTGGGGGATTCACCGGACCTACCATGGCAATACGGGACAGCCCACTTAAACCGGCTACTCATTGGCGGACATTGCAACAGTCTTCTTTCAAAGTCATGTTTTCGGATAGCCGACGATAAGAGTTTCTTGCCGAGGCGTCGGAACTTGACGCATTTTCTGCAGCGTCAACCAATGCGGTGGAGCAAGTTCCAATTCGGTTACAGGACGGGTCCGGCGTCGGAGCACTCGTCCAAACCGGCCATCCGACAGGTTGGTTGTATTGTGCGCGAGACTGGTTCTCCTCTCAATCCAAAGTAACCAAGTTCATTTCATTGACATGATAGCGAAATACACAAATAAATAAGAAAAACTGGAGGCATTACCAGCTTGGGGTAAGGGAACGATTGTATTTTAAACGCGAGGACTGTGGTTTTCGGACACTTGCTGTCACGCCGGTATACCTGACTCAACATCTGCGGATTCGGAGGACCCTAGACGCCTTAGAACTGCGCCCAAATACCAGCATCGTCCCTCCGAGAGTTGCAACAATCCCGATGTCCGGAGCCAGACTTCGGGTGTTGCCGAGTCGGCCCCAGTTAGTGGAGGGTTAGTCACGGATATCGGCCGCCATATCAGTGGCCCATTTCCGTCCACCGCGGAAACAAGTTTTGCTTCTTGTCTTTGTCAACTTTTCCTGTGCCATTTAATTAGAAGAAAGCTGGGTAATAATCTTCTTCTGGGAACAAATGGCCCACAATGACAATCGACAACAGCATTCGCGAACAAGCAGACTCATCTCAGAGAACCTCTTCAGATAGGCGCGATGACGACATTGAGGAGTATGCCGACATCATCCCTGCGAGGTCCAAAACTGCAAAAGGAGGTTCGTCTTGGTCCAGCCAGTGGAGCTATAAACTTCGGTAGCTCACCCTATTATCGTAGATGATCCATCGCAACCAGGCTTAACAAAACTTCCATCCGGAGTCCTCAATTACCAAGACGATCCAGTGGCACGTCATCAATCCAACGTGGAAGTTCCCTACGAGATATACAACCGCTTTTCGAAGCACCGCAAACACATCACCGTTGCCGTCATTTCCTGGTGTGGTTTGTTGTCACCCATCTCAAGTACGGCGGTCTTGTCAGCGCTCCCTGAAGTTGCAGCCGAGTACAAGACTAGCGGAGACATCATCAGTCTTAGCAATGCGCTGTATCTTGTCTTCATGGCCATTAGCCCCTGTTTTTGGGGACCATTGAGCCAAGTGTATGGCCGGAAATGGGCAAGTAGTTTCTCTACAAACCCCAGTCCTCATTTCACAACGAGTTCATTGCCAACCAGCTGTCGCCTGTTCATCAATGTAGGGAATATGGCTGACAAATTGATCTAGACTTGTATGGTGACAGCTTCATTGTTTCTGGGGTGTTCGATCGGCACAGCACTCAGCCCCAACGTCCCGGCGTTCTTCGTGTTCCGCATCCTCACTGCTTTTGCTGGCACATCGTTCCTTGTCACCGGTCCTGCTGTGATTGGCGACTTGTATCATCCTACAGAACGCGCGACTGCGATGGGATGGTTCTTATCCGGCACACTCATTGGACCGACGATTGGCCCAGTTCTCGGAGGCATCATCGTGACCTACACATCTTGGCGCGCCATCTTCTGGCTTCAAACCGCGCTCGCTGGCGTCGGCGTTGGAGGCGCTATACTGTTCATGCCAGAGACGCTACAAGAACTCAAAAAGGCAGGTCTCGAAGGGCTTGCATTCAGTAAAAAGGTCAGCGTGCTATGGGGTATGACGAACCCGGTCAGAGTTGTTCGACTATTCAAGTTTCCGAACCTCATCCTGGTGGCAATCGCCAGTGGCTCGCTCGTATGGAACATGTATGGCATGCTGACCCCGATCCGATACGTTCTCAACCCTCGTTTCTCTTTGACGTCACCGGCGCAATCGGGCTTATTCTACTTGGCTCCGGGCTGCGGCTATCTTGCTGGTACCCTTGTAGGTGGCCGCTATGCCGATTATACAGTTCGGCGCTGGATAGCCGAGCGACACGGACGACGCATTTCCGAAGACCGGCTGCGCTCTTGCCTTCCCTTCTTGGGGGCCGTTCTGCCGGGATGCATGCTCATTTACGGGTGGACAGTCCAGCAGCGCGTCGGCGGCATTGCTGTACCCGTCGTTTTCATGTTCCTCGGGGGTGTATCACAGCTGTTCTGTTTCCCCAGTCTGAACACATACTGCTTGGATGTTATACAGGGACGCAGCGCGGAGGTGATTGCGGGCAACTTTATGGTAAGATACCTTTTTGGTGCTGCTGGATCGGCTGTCGTACTTCCAGCAATCAAGGTCATTGGGGTTGGATGGTTTAGCACCATTTCTGCTGGCTTCTTGGTGATTGGGGCTCTCAGTGTTTGGGCTGTCGCTCTCTGGGGTAGAAGTTGGCGCCACCGTATTGATGAGAAGGTGAGACCATCTATACCATGACCTTTCACGAAGTGCAATATACTACTTTTCTTTCACCTTAGGCAAGTAGGATGGGTACAAGAAGGAGACCTCACTTATGTAATGACGAATGTGACCAAAGTTCGCGAACGGCGGGAATTCCGCTTCTTATATTTCGAAATCAGACGACATCTATTGATGCAATGCGAAGATCATACAAACGGTACTTTGACATGTCGGGGTAGGGAAGGCTACGGCGAGGATTGATGACTGAATGGAATAGAAGTGAGATTGAATTAAGAAAGACCTCCACGACGTTTGCAGATGATATTAGACATCAAAACATGAAGTCCATAGCCGGAGACCCTTATTCTTAATGCACTACTCCATAACCTTGGTGCTAACTGGACGACAAGGAATTCGTGTGCCATTCGGGTTTTTAGTCGCAACCCGACACGGCCCCCGACAAGCATTCGACCGATTTTCGGCCGAATCCTACGACTCCAAAACTTGAGACAAGCTACCATTTCGATACTTCGGTCTATAATTACGCCTGCGTGGAGCCAAGCAATCCCAATATGTCTCCGAGTAGTACAGCTTCGATGGACTCACATGGTTTTTGTTAAATCATACCTGCCGCCTATCCATCGGTGTAATCGTCTACTTAAGATAGTATTATTCCATACCTTTGCCACATACCTGAGTGACGGAGAACATTTAGACGATACCATGGCCAACAAAATCAAAGTCGCCATAGCCGGAGCTACTGGGAACACAGGCTCTTCCATTGTGAATGCGCTGTTGAAGAGTCCCGAGCTCTTCGTAAGTTGGATTTTGTCGGATATCTACACTTGAAACTTGGGCACATCTAACACACTTGGCGACAGGAAGTTACAGCTCTATCGAGACCCAAGTCGGTAAAGAAGGCTGAGCTCGTTGACTTCGCAAAGCGAGGCGTCGATGTGAAGGCAATTGAGCTAGATGGGCCAATCGAGGCAATTTCCGGAGTCCTCACTAATATTGACGTTGTCATCTCGTGCTTGACCTTGTTTACATATCAGGAGGAGATGAATCTTATTGAAGCATCGAACAAGGCCAACGTCGGTCGATACATTCCAAGCTTTTGGGGCCCGGCCTGCGCACCTCGAGGTGTCATGATGCTGAGGGATAAGGTGAGGTTCCGATGAATTACCGTTTCCTTATCTGCAGTGTTTTCAAAATTGATGTTGAGACTATTGCTAATTCGAACACCGGCATGACAGAAACAGGAGTTCGTTGACCGTATATGGGACCTCCATCTGCCTTACACCATTATCGACGTCGGATGGTGGTATCAGCTGACCTTGCCTGCTGTACCTTCAGGCAGATTTCGCCCAATGGTAGAAGAATATTGCACCACGCGTGTGATTGGGGACGGCAACACCCGTTGGGCACTTACCAACAATCGTGACATTGGCAATTTTGTCAGCCGAATCATCGCCGACCAGAGGACCTTGAACAAGATGGTCTTTGCGTATGGGGAGGTCTTGACACAGAATGAGGCCTTCGAAATTCTCGAGAAGGTGTCCGGAGAAACTGTGACCCGAGATTTCGTACGCTCACTGGACCGTATCTTTTTCGAAAAGCAAGGGACTAACAAACGGCCTAGATAACCAAAGAAGAGGTGCAAGGCATTATCTCTCAGGGTCGCACAGGCAAGGAAATTACAATCAACCCTACGGTTGGTATGGCAGAGTACCGGAATCTGCTTGGTATCCGCGGCGAGAATACTCCTGAGTATGCACGCTATCTTGGATATCTCGATGCGAGGGAATTGTATCCGGATGTGGAGCTTACAAGCTTTGAAAACTATGTCATAGGTACCTTGCAAAGTGTCTGAAAGCCTGAAAGATTTCCGAATCGCCAATGGTTGTGAGTGTAGGTTTGGGATGAGGGCTTTGAGTCTGAGGCGAAATGTCGAAATTGGACTTTCTACGACACATCGACTCTAGTCAAGAAAGTAGACTTAGTGAACCCTCAAGGTTGATGCTTCATTGCGAATATGTATGTAACAGGATGTGTTTGATACTTGGCCATACTTTGGCCAAAAAAGAATAGGTACAATAGAAGGCAACTCGTTTTTTGAGGCTGGCAGCTCTCTTAAGTGCTTCCGATGTTGAATGAAATGCAGATAAGTTGACTTCAGCACATCGACGAAATAAAGAGTCATGAAGTAACTAGTTGGTAACGGTCTGTTTCGCCGATCCAGCACCATTCCAGGTCTCGACAGCAATGACCTGGAAGTTGAGCGTGCCCAGGTTCATTCCGTAACTCTTCCAAGCATTGAAGTGGTTAGAGATAGACACAGTACCGCTTGTAAGACCGCTGTTGCGAACCGATATGTATTGATTGAAGGTCTGGGTGCCCTGGATTGAAGGGGCGTTGGTGCGCACATTCTCCCAGATGGTATAAGAGCCACCATCACTGGTCACGGTACCCTTCTTCGTCCCGGTCTGAGAGAATCCGGCAGAGTCCTCAATGACGTAGTACTCCACAAGCGGATTGGTGGTCCAGCCATAGACTGAAAGGGTCGCAAGACCCTTGGTAACAGCAAATGAACCGGAGTGAGTGATTGGAGCGGTAGAACCTGGGTTCCAACCGACGCCGACCACGAAGTCGTCTGTAGTATCGAAGCTGAGACTGAAGCTGTTGCCCGAGGGCGTGAAGTTGACAGTGCCGCCAGTCTGGTAGTTTTGGACATAGTTGGTGCGCTCCTCAAGGATCATGCCACGTCTTTCGAGAGAGGCATTGCGGCGTGCGAGCATGAGGGGGTGGTCGGGTCCCAGGAAGAAGTCCGAAGGGCCCCGTCGCTCAACATGAGGAGGCAGCAACTCAGCCGGCCCGATCGCGGGGGCAGCGAGGCAAGTAGAAATAGCCGAGAGGCTCAAAACCAAGGAGTGAAGGGAAACCATCTTGAAAGTAAAAGGCTGATGTGAGCGAGGTGAAAATCGGTTGGTTCAAGGCTGCCAAGAGGTCAGTAATCGACACAGGCGTACATTGGTCTTATACAATTCTCTTGGCATCTCGAAACGTAAGGTAATTAGATTAAGCAGCCAGACATAACGTGCCCGATTCTCCTGTGAGCTAGATTTTTGATATCCATATTTTAATCTGGACGAAACATAGCATCTTCCGAGGCGGGGGAATTTAGGCAAAATCAGATGAGCGGACATTTTGTTTGAATGAGGAGAATGATAAAGGCAGAGGTGGTTCGAACCCTTCGGCCGGATCATTTTGACCAAGCAAGACGTTAGACTCACGCTACAGCAGGCGTTGGCACTCTAGAACGGCAATGGCGCAAGGGTTCCCCCGCAAGCTCTCAACCTGCAACCCCCTGATGCTCCCCGAGACTGTTGCATTCCGGCGGCATATGTTACGGAGAGTGTGGGGAAGCCACCAGACCAAACCGCATAGTGTATACCTACGGTACCGAAGGTGTCCGGCTAATCTGGGACAGGCGGCTCGGCATTGGATTAATGAAGCATATGCAGCTGGATCGCAGTGCCCATCTTGTATTACGGCTTCGACACACCTACATGCTCGGCATCGTACCCGATCTACGTCGTATTCTTGACTCTTTACCCGCACGCACGCCGCACATGATGTGCCCCGAGTTACACTATTCTTACTAGGTTTGGAAATCACGGTTCCAAGTTCCGCAAGAGAAGTGCGCGGCAATTTGCAAACCTGATGAAGTTTGTCTTTGCCAATGTAACGAAATTTGGGAACCGACGCTCAAAATGCGCCAATAGTGAGACAGAGCCATTGGTTGTGAGCGATCAGGACTCCAATTTCAATCCAGATCCAATCTTTTTGGACGGTAAGAGGCCTGATCAACCCAAACGCGGGCCAGCAAGGCAGTAACGGATAGATAAGCACGCCTGGGACTCTTCTCCCGTTGATCGGCAAAGACGGCAGCGGCTCGGGTGATGCGCGAGTCGTTCGGGCTCGATGGCCAAAGCCTTTGAATTAGTCTGGCGCACTACAATTAAGGAGGAACTGACCAGCGACAATCCGAACTCGGGCCGTATTCGTATGTCTGGTCTATCAACGAAGCAGACAGCGGAGAGCTCTCAGCTATTATTTAGGGTGGCGTGCAGGGCTGTCAATGAATTGATGATGACTATTTCGCTGAACGTAAACGAAGCTTCGTCTTATTGCAGCTGATACCTCTGTAGTCTTTGTTGGGTATCTTGTTGCACAAGTTCCAAGAACCTAGCTAGTTATCTTGTCCGAAAGAGCTTCTTTGATCTTCGTTGCCCCAACACATCAGTCGAGAGTTACTCGTGTCTTCGTCGAAATCCCCTCATGGCACCCACATCCTAGTAGTTATCTGAAGACTAAGTCATCCCGTTTGTTCTCCAGCAAGCGACTTTACAAAATTCCAGAGCTACTTGTTCCGTCGGAGACTTCCTGACATTTAGCTGAGCCCTCTAGGGCTAATAACCCAGCGCCAACATATGTGAGCAACTAGTAAAACAAGGCAAACCAACAAATATGTTTTTGAGGCTCTTCCCCTCAATGATCTTTATCGGCCTCTTTGTGCTTAACTGTGACTCTACTGACTTTCCGTAGAGGTGCGACATTTGACATAGTCTCCTACAGCTGCCAGTGTCTATGTCATTGGCCTCCTCAGAGAATTGCGGGCCAATGCGTCTCTCCAACGGAGCGGTCAATGACATTTAACAACAGGCCGAAACTTTAGCCAAGCTGTCATGTTGAAAGATTGAAAATGCCAAGATCCTATTTTTGAAATTCGTCGCTGCAATGATTGAATTTTGCACTTCATCTCAACTAACCAACTGCGGGATCCCAATCCCGGGGCGCGGTCTCCGCGCTTCCCGCGGCGCCCCCCCCTAGCAACGACACGATCGAAGCTTTGAAATTCTCTCTCGGCTTATAAATCGAGCCTGAAGGAACTGTATTGGGTCTATGTAATGATGAGGTGAAGTGCAAATTATTTGAGTAAGCACGGAGGACTTTGTCCTTGTAGAGAGAACTATAAGACGGCGAATATTCTCTCCTCTAGTCAGGAGGTACGATATGGAAACATCAACAGCAACACGAATCACGATCATACCTTGCCCCCTAGAACATGGCAACGAAAACACTCGTCATCGGCGGTACCGGTTTGGTTGGAGGCCATGCTGCATTGTACCTTCGATCCAAAGGAAGCGATGTCACTATTGCCGGACGAAAAGGGCCCAGCGACGTTCCCGCCTTGTCCGAGCTTCCTTTCATTCAGGGCAACTATTTGAACGGGGATTTCAGTATAGAAACCCTCTCAAAATTTGAAGCAGTTGTCTTTGCGGCCGGCAGCGACGTTCGGCATGTGCCGAGGGACAACATGCGGATGAGCACTATCTTCATGCCAACGGCCAGGCCATACCAGAGTTCGGAAAACTCGCTAAACAAGCTGGAGTCAAGAAGTTTGTTCATATCGGCAGCGCCTATCCGCATATTATACCGGAGACAATCTCATTTAGCCCATATGTCCGATCCAGAAAGCTTGCTGCGGATGGACTCAAGTCGCTATCAGGGCCTGAGTTCCATGTTTGCAGTCTTGATGCGCCCTTCATCGTTGGGAATGTGCCGGGCATGATTGTACCCATGTTTCAGGCTTACATCGACTACGCCAGAGATAATTTGCCCATTCCTCTTTTCGCTCCGCTCGGAGGGCTGAACTTCATTTCCACACAATCGCTGTCCGAAGCCATTGCGGGAGCTCTGGAGAACAGCCAAGCAATATCAGGGAAGGCCATCTTGGTTGGCGACCAAAACATGACCTATGCGGAGTACTTTCAGATGTTCTTCCAGGCGGTCGGCAATAGTCAACGTTTGGAGTCACTGGATCAGGATCACCCGCTGCTACCTCGAGCCACCTTATATGCAGGTAACAAAGTGGTCAAGTATCAACCTGACCCTGCGGAACTGGCATTATTGGGAGGATACCGCCGTGATGATATCCAAAACGCGATCGAAGATTTAGTCACTGAGTATCAGTAAGCTCACCTCTAAAATGGTGCCAATAATGTCGCGGGGAGATTGAGCTATAATTTTCCAGACTATGTAGAGATAGTGAAGTAGGGAATTCGATTGAACTACAACCGATACTACTACTTTGATTGTCCGCCGTGGCCCTCGTTATCTGAATAGAAGGCCAAAAGGGAGTAAAGCAAACCAGAGTCAGCGGCAGGATTTTCCGAAGATCGCAAAATACCACAACTAATAGCTCGCAGTTTCATACTGGCTTCGCTGGCGAATTCGTTTGCCGAACTTGAAGAATATCCAAGGCCCTGGAAGTAGTGCCAGTGATACAAATCCTAGAAGGCTTGTTGCCCAGCCAATACCGAGTTTTTGGTACACTAAGAAGTCTTGCATTCAGCGCCATGATCTTTTTCATGAAGAAAACAATTTGAGCAAGGAACTCACTCTGTAACGAGAAGAATGGGAACGCAGCAGCAAAGGTATATCTTGCTAGGCTGTTCGCACTGGCCGCACTTGCTACGTTAGAGCGATGATATGTGTCCCCGAGATATTGGATTGAGCTAATGGTCAACGTGATATTGCCCCAGCCAAAGATGACAATTGCGATGATTGGGACCGCAGCATTGACGTCTGGCCTAGCTGTCCAGCCAAACCAGAAAAGACTAATGGGAAGACCCAAGCTTCCCAACATGGCTGGGTAGAGCCGCAGCTCAGGAGGGATTTCGCTTGGAGAAAATTGTCTTGCCTTGGGTTGATAGATATGATGATCGCAGAGAAGCATGGTGATACAGCCAAGAACGCATCCGAAAGCGATCGCTAAGAACACAAGGCCCGTCTGAGTGAGCGTGTAGC